AGCAGATCTTTGTTCAGCTCCAGCCTGGCCAGAAAGCAGCTCAGGAAGGGTTTGAGGGGGGAGCTGGATCCCGGGGAGCGTTCAGCCGTGGCCGTGGCACAATGGCTGGGTGAAATCAGGGCCTTTATCTCTCCAGGGAAAGAACAGTTTGTGTTTCAGATGCACAGGCTGAGGGATAACAGGATCCTCTGGGATTTGGGGGGGGCTGGTACACGAGGTCCAGGCTGGGATCAGCGTCTGGGGCACAGCCCCCAGAGTTTTGGTTGGGTGGGGCACGTGAGAAACATTAAATTTCTCCCTGTTTGTGCAAAAAAAAAAAACATCCACCCACCGGCAGGGGTTTGGGGTTTTCCTTTTAAATCTGTTCATATGATCCCTGAACCCTGTTGTCCTGAGGGGTTTTAGGAGCTTTTTGAGGAGATTCCAGAGCTCCCAGGTAGGGGCAGAGGACAGGTGGGGCTTGTTGAAAGCCCAGCTGCTCCCAGTTAGGCTGAGCCTCACTCAGGTGAGCTCATTCCCTGGGATGAGGCTCCCGGAGTTGGAAAATGCTGGAAAGGGATTTTACTCCTTTCTTTGCTCCATTAGAGTGTGGAGGAATACAGGAGTAGGTCCATTTTAAATGGATGTCTTAAAAAAAAAAAGCGTCACTCCTTGGTCGTGTCAGTGGCTTCAAACGGAGAGAAAGGAGGTTTAGGTGGGATGTTGGGAAGGAATTCCTCCCTGGGAGGGTGGGGAGGGGCTGGGATGGAATTCCCAGAGAAGCTGTGGCTGCCCCATCCTTGGGAGTGTCCCAGGCCAGGCTGGAGCACCCTGGGCTGGGGGAAGGTGTCCCTGCCCATGGCAGGGGTGGCACTGGGTGATCTTTAAGGTCCCCTCCAACCATTCCACGATTCCACACATTTCTCTGTGGTGTTTTGACCCCGCCTGGGGGATTTTGTGAGGAATCACCTCCCACCTCTGCACTTCTCCTTTCTCTTTGCAGACGAACCCCAACTACAGCCAAGAGAAGAACCGCTGCGAATACCTCCACAACAAACTGGCTCACATCAAAAAACTCATAGCAGAGTATGACCAGCAGCAGTTTTAGCTGCCACTCCCCCCCAAACTCTCCCCCCCCCCCCC